CTCCTTGTTGAGAAAAAATGTATTTCTCAAGAGACCCATTAGACATGAAATCATATACAAGAGCACGTTTTGAACCTTCAACACAGAAGCCAATAAGTCGCACCACGTTAACATGGCGAATCCTTCCAATGGTAGCAACTTCATTGATAAAGTCTTGCCCATTATTAGTTTTGGACTTGCCTAACATCTTGATGGCTACAAGGCGACCGCTGCGGAGCTTTGCCTTGTATACAGAGCCATAGCCTCCTTCCCCCAATTTGTCCTTGAAACCTCTGGCCATCTTTTTTATGTCCGAGTAAGAGTACCTTATTGGCATGAGATTATTATTACTCCGTAGAAAATCTTCTATATTCTCATACATTGACAAGTGCCTTCTTCGCCATTTATATATTAGCAGTGCAGTTACAAAGGGAAAACCAAATGAAAGTTTGGCTGCCAGGTGTATTGCTGCATGGTTCACAAAAATGGAATTAATGAACTCGGAAGTATGATAATGATAATAATAATAATATACTCCTTTGCAAATCCATCTCAATCAAAATAAGAGTATTCTCTTACCTAGGAAAGCGACTGCACATTCCAGAAGCTGGGCAAAGTGTAATCTGGATTTATACCAATCAAAGCGGAAGAGCCCACCTGTGGTGTGAAGACATTCTACTGCAACAGAAGTAAAGAAATGAATCGATCAATGGAATGAGTAAGGTGGTTAGTCAAGCGTAAAGGCCAAAGAAAAGTAAACGTCTATTTACAGAGTTGAGGGATCCACTCGCCTACTTTGTCGATTATGTTGATTATGATCTTGTCGTACCAAGGGATTTCTCGTACTACATTGCGAAAGAAGACAGTAACATTAGCATAAAGAGAATTCTGGTTAGACCAACATAAATTATACACAAATTATGAAAAGAAAACTGTAAAACTTTAACCATAGTTTTAGAGGACACTATAATAAATAAGCCTTCTTTAATATATAATTTATAATTTAAAGGTTTGGCAATTGTCTAACCTTGTTCTTCTGGTGAGCATTGAATTCCAGTGCCGGTGCTGTTCCGCCTGCAAGATTCCCCTGATCTGCACGTTACTGTACATGCATACTGAAGCTATGAGAGTTCAAAGCCATGCGCTATTTCATTATATATTCCTTTGCAAGACGTCATGTGCTCCTCAGTTGAAGGGGACACCATAACCATTAGTGTTATTTTGCAGGAATCCCCCCAATTGTATAAACTTATTGTTGGATTGGAATAAGAATATTTCATGGAATAAGAATATTTCATGAAATAAGAATACGTTGTTAAATTGGAGAAAGAAGAATTGGAAGCAGAATAGTTGTTGACCCCACTGATGCATGGAGCTGTTTCAACAATGAGATCGGAAGGATTCATTGGATTTTCACAGCTCAGGAAGATTATAGACATTGATGATTTTCGGTAAGGATAATCAGTTGGGTAATCATAAGGACCTGTATAATTAGAGTAATAAGAAGAAAAGTTGAAGGGGGTCAAGGAGTGGAGTGGGTGGGAGAAGTAGTTGTCCTTGATCTTGTGAACACCAGCATCCACAAGTCGGATTGTCAAGTTATTGTAATTGATTGCTTGTACATAATACTTTCCTGATAACAAGTATAGCACTGCATGATGAGTAGTACCATCTCCCTTGGCCTCACAAGATAGCTCGAAGCTTTTGTTGCCGCAGTGTTGAGAGTCTCCTTTCAATCGGAATGGAGAGCTTATGTTAATATTTCCACAAGAACGGGTGCAATCAGAGTTATCATGAGCTTTATTAGCTGTAATATTATTGGATGCTGTTTGGGAACAAGAGGAAGGAACAAGAAGAAGAAGAAGAAGAAGAAGGAGCACTGTGTAAGCAGCAAATAGGAGACTTCCTCCAGACATGCTGTCAGAGCACAAGGGAAATTTCCAATTTAGTGCAGTTTAACTCTTTAAAGATATAATATAAAGTCTTTTTTTTTTGGGGCATAATCAGATAAGAATTAAGAGATCACGGTACCCGTCGGCCATTGACTAAAACATCCAGAAGGAGTGGGGCCCATGTCATCTCAAGTAATCCACTCAACAAAAAGAAACCCAAGTCCATATCATATCATATCATCTTCAAGGATACTTGTACTCTGCAAATAATTTCTTGTCATTATGAATTTCTCACGGTGGTTGCTCATGATAGTCGTAATAGTAGTAGATGCAGTCAATGGTGGACTAGGCCATCAAGATTGCAGAGAAACAAGATGTGGCCTGGGAGAACCAGCCATCCGATGCCCATTTCAACTTAAAGGTAGGCAGCCAATCCATCGTGGCTTCCGGGGATTTGATGTTTCATGCACTGACGACAAAGAGACTATACTTGAATTACCATCGTCAGCTAAGTTCCGTGTTTATGAGATTAACTACAGATCTCATGTAATTAGAGGAAGTCCTTATGATCCTTCCTTATGATGGTTGCTTGCCAAGGGAGTTGTTTTACAGCAATGGTTCTTATCCCTTTGAATTCGTAGGCAACGCAACCTTATTCCAGCATGTATGGTAGTGGTGGTCTGGCGAGATTGAGCCCATGCCTTGGTGATTATTGTTTCATTGATAACATGCCCCTAGTGTCTTGTATCAAGGTGCATGACTACACATCAGATCCTGCATATACATATGATATGGGAGCATATATATATATGATATGGGCGAATTATTATTGCATTGGTCCATTCCATCATGTGAACATTGCAAAGGTATTTTACACTCCCAAGTTTACTTTCCAACTATAATTTCAAGATTATTTCAAGATTCTATGCAAACTATAATTTTGGATTTCATTGATTTTGAAAACCGGCCCTTATTTCATGAACAACTTTTACAGGTCGTGATCTTATAAGGCCAAATCTGAAGATATTAGGTGAGCTATATCCACAGACCTTCATTTCATCTAATTTCTTTCTTCTTTTTTTCCTTCCTTTTTCTTTCTTTTATGAACATAATGGTGAGGAAATTAATCAAGGGCATGTTTTCAAGAGAGTTTAAAATTGCTAAAACCGCTTTAAAAAACATTTGACACAAAAAGAAAATATTTGCAGGTATTTTGGCACTCTATTTAGTTCTAATAGCGACGGGGACGACAATCTGTGTCTACAACTCAAACAAAAAGGAAAAAGAAAATCAGCTTAGAATTGAAAGATTTTTGGATGAATACAGAGCGATGAAGCCAAGTAGATATTCCTATGCTGATATTAAGAGGATAACAAGTCAATTCAAGGAAAAGTTGGGTCAGGGGGCCTATGGAACGGTGTTCAAAGGAACTCTTTCCTCAAAGTTACTTGTTGCTGTGAAAATGCTCAACAATTCAAATGAAAATGGGGAAGATTTCATAAACGAAGTGGGGACAATGTGTCAAATCCACCATGTCAATGTGGTTCGCTTGGTTGGAATTTGTGCCGACGGATTTATTCGTGCTCTTGTTTACGAATACTTACCAAATGGTTCTTTGCAAAATTTCTTATCATCAGTAGATAATAAGAATTCATTCATTGGTTGGGATAAGTTGCAAGATATCGCTCTAGGAATAGCTAAAGGAATTGAATATCTTCACCAAGGATGCGACCAACGAATCCTGCACTTCGATATCAAACCACATAATGTATTGCTAGACCAAGATTTCACTCCAAAAGTTTCTGATTTCGGTTTAGCCAAGTTTTGTGCTAAGGATCAAAGTGCAATATCGATGACTACAGCCAGGGGGACCATGGGCTACATTGCACCCGAAATCTTCTCATTCATTGGTTGGGATAAATTGCAAGATATCGCTCTAGGAATAGCTAAAGGAATTGAATATCTTCACCAAGGATGCGACCAACGAATCCTGCACTTCGATATCAAACCACATAATGTATTGCTAGACCAAGATTTCACTCCAAAAGTTTCTGATTTCGGTTTAGCCAAGTTTTGTGCTAAGGATCAAAGTGCAATATCGATGACTACAGCCAGGGGGACCATGGGCTACATTGCACCCGAAATCTTCTCAAGGAACTTCGGCAATGTCTCCTATAAGTCGGATGTCTATAGTTTTGGAATATTGTTGCTTGAAATGGTTGGAAGCAGAAAAAACTTTAAAGTCATGGAGGACTCCACTAGCCAAGTCTACTTCCCAG